GACTCGACAGACAGCTTATCCGACGAGAACAAATACCTTCACCGTGTTTTTACGAAGAACAACTACAACAACGACTTCATCCGACGAAACACTCACCGACCCACTACCACTACCGAAACAAACGACACCGCAACCCCTACGACTACAGCAACCATACCGTACATAAAAGGCATGTCTGAAAACATCTCGCGCATCTTACTACCCTTCAATATCCGCGTCGCCCACAAACCCATCACCACACTACGTCAGTTACTAACCAACGTTAAAGACAAAGACGAACCGAGGAACAGACAGGGAACGATTTATAAGATCAATTGTTCCGACTGCCAAGCCTCCTACATCGGTGAGACTGGCAGAAACCTCACAACAAGACTGACTGAACACAGACGGGCGACGAGGAAAGGTGATGTCAGCAATCACATTGCTGAACACCATCGACTTACCAACCACAACATTGACTGGGACTCTGCGCAATGCCTAACCTACAGCACTGACTATTTTCAACGACTGACTCTGGAAAGCTGGTTTACTAACTTAGAACAGACTCCCCTAAACAGATGTCAACAACTACCCGCTCCATACAAACGACTCATTCACGACATAAACATCACAAACGACCGAAAAAGAACGACCTAACTTTACCGACAGATCGAAACAGACCAATCACGACCGACTTACGTCACTTGAGTCTTACAGCCAATAACATCACGGCAAAACCAACCGATCATTTCACACGAACTGGAATAAGAACATTCTACTGACAACAATCATTCACTTGACTCTGATGATGACTTCCGCACAGGTTGTCGAAACGTCAGTCACTACCACCGACAACATTCCTTCTCAGGACTACACTCACCCGGACGATCAGACTACACCTTCACAAAAGAATAATCTAACACGAAGACAAAGAAAAGACTAGTGTGTACCTGTTTCCTCAAATTTGAGATTATATGGATGAAGGTTTGAGGCCTCTTCAGTTGTAAGTTTCTTCTTTCGCCTACTTGACGTTTTACCAAACAAGCCTAGCAAAAAAGAAAAATTGCGTTGTTTTGCTCCAGTTTTAATGCGTTCATGTAATGCTAAAGAGAGCAATTTTTTGGTGTAAATTGAATTTGAATTCGATATCGTTGGAAGCTCTTGCAACTGTAAAATTCCAGATTTATCGGGCCGTGTTCTGTTAAACTGTTCTTATCAGCGGAAAAGGCAATTAACAAACTGGAAGAAAATCTCATGCATTCAATTAGCCACAGGATTTGTCTAGTATTCTTTTCCGAAAAAATAGAATATGAAAATAAGATCGAGAGACTCTCAGTAAATTTGCCAAAAGAGTGATCCAAAGGGACCTTCCTTGGCCTTTTAAAATGTGTTCAGATGAACATACGTATATCAACCGTTGACGAAAAAGTGAAAAGCCGAAATAATTCGCGATTAGTAACCTATAGCTATAGCCCTACCTTTCAGTCTTTTTAAAATCGGCCGTTTACGTGAATTCATTGGCAAGTTTTCCCCACTCTCATGGCGTTCCTTTTTGTTTATGTCTAAAACATAACATTAGAACTATCAAACAAAAGCTGCAATTTAAATCGTTTCCTTTTGTCACCGAACACACTACAGGTGGCACAGACTAGCGATTTGCTTACACTGTAGGAGAGTGTACAGCGAATTTTCATTTCATTTTTAAATGAAAATGAAAAAGAAAGTACCAATTTGATGTCTGTTCTTGCGTTGGCATGAAGCCATTTCGGCTAGAGGTCTCCCTGCAGTTAAACAAATTGGGGCGCATAGCTAAAGGTGAAAGCGAAAAAGGTCAGGAAATTACATTTTACTGAAAAAGCTGCGAACTTTTCAATAGCACACTATTACGCAGTTGTTTAAAAATGGAATCTTAACCTGTTGATTTTCTCATTCATGGGCGAAAATCATTCGTTATCACCATGTAGGGAAGAAAAACTGCTTGCTGTCGAAAACCTGACTCGATGAGCATAAAGGCTTTGAAATTTAGAACTTCTCTTGCTACCGTGAAGTTTTGCAGCAGTATGTACTTGAATGAAAAAGTTGCACGAGAAAAGCCTTTAGAAAAGCATCTCTTAGAGAAGCTTTACTACACTGGCTCGTGAAAGGTGGTTTTGTCAACATTGATCATCCATAAAGATGGTAAGCTATTTAAGTAGTTCATAAATAACTCTTGAAATGCTAAGTAGCAAATACAAGTTTTCTACGAGATTTCTTAATTCTTATTAAAAACCTTTATTGTCATCATTGTCAGATCATGCTTCAGTCGAGCTGCATTTGGAGAGTTGGGTCAGAGAGAAAGTGACGCCATTTTCTTACTCAATGGAATTTTAAGTTTGTGAAACCAAAGAATTTAAGCCCTTATTAGATTCTCCCTGGCTGAAAGGAAGGTTAAAGGAAGCAAAAGAAAAGATTGAAGGAACTTCGTGAACTACTTTGTAAGATAGACATGCAGGAGAAGTATCTGCCAGAGGCGGTGCTTTAGAAAATTCGTCAGTTGCTTGAATTTTGGGAGGAACTAGAAAAATCCTCGACAGGCTTCTTAAAGTAAATAGCGGAAAGTTGCTCACTAGCTGAGAGGTGCAGCAAAAATGGTGAAAAAAGTAGTTAAGAGAGCTGCTCGTGAAACCTTTGCTAAGAGAGACACCTTGAATTTGCCAGTGAACGAGAACAAGCTATTCGAAGCAGAGATCCAGAGAGCTGTCAGACATTTCAAGAATGGAATTGAAAGAAAGCTGGTCTCAATATCCTACCACCAGAGACCATGCAGGAAGTTTTTAATACTTCAATAAAAATGTTGCCTGAACTGTTTGGCAGATCCAGGAAACGAACGTGATGTTATAATGGTTTGAATGAAGGCTTCCTTATCAAACTTCCAAAGAAGAGAGATATTGACTTAGGTAAGAGCTTAAGAGGCATCGTGCTCTTAGCGACAACCGAAAAAGTACTAAATAGGATAACTTCGGCATACTACCTTGAGAATAATCTCGAAGCAATCTCTTGGAAGTTACCACGGCATTATGGAGACCCAAAAAAGTAAACTGTCTTCACAAAGAAGCCCTCTGAGAAGCACACTTGTAGATTCATCCCTACATTCATTCATATCATACTATCATATCAGAAACATAGATGATGACACTCAAAAGCATTCCCCCTCCCCCCGTCCCCTTGACTGTGCTCTGTTCTGTTGTAAAGCTCGCAGGAAACGGCTTGAGCACGAAAGAAATGTAGGGAGAAACACGAGACGTAGTCGAGCGTTTCTCCCCACTTCTTGTCGTCAGCATGGTCTATACTCTCATAGAGCGGGCTGGCTACAATATGCCAACCAAAATCCTCGTTAGAATGATTCAAGTAATCTGATTGGTTGGACAAGACTGCATCAAAGTTCACAAACCATCAAAGTTCACAATCTGCCATAGATCACAAAGTGAAATAGTTCGGCGGGTCGCATTTAACACTTTTGGCTGATTTTGTTTTCAGTCTTGATACGGAATCTGAACGCGAAATGTTCAGAGAAATCCGGCCGAATTGTCAATTATAAAAACACGCAGGTTTTTTCACACGACGATTAGAAAACAAACTGCTTACTTTAAGGCGTGTGTTTTATGAATGAATGAGAGCCTGATCGCAGTTGCTCTGGCATCGTCATGATTTGTATGGATTTTAACAGGTATGCCAGTTTGGATATATTTTCAAGTTTCATCATAACTGTTTTGTTGTGTTTGGCTTTTGAACACGAAACTACATATACACTGTAGGAGTGTTAGCTATGTTTGATTTTATTACCTTACATAAATGTACAATCTAACTGAGCGCGAAAACCTTCAAAACTCGGACTGTCCGTTTCGTTTTCTCTTTGAGAATTTTCGTACTTGCACACGTTATAATGATGCAAATTATTGCGCTTGGCCTGTTAACAAACCTTTGTTTGGTTCTTCTGTTGCCAAGAGCCTACTCGTTTATTCCAAAATTTGATTTTTAATTAACAAACTAGACAAAGTACAAATTGGCAGATTGCGCGACATCTTTAGCTCAGCTCCATACTCTATATTCTCATGGAGCACGCCCTTTCAACCAATGACAGCACGATATCCGAACTGATATTATAATAGAAGTGAAAGAAAATAGCTCAATTTTCGATAAACGCGACGAATCTTTAGTATTTTGTCAGGTTTCATTAAAAGTTTGCCGGTAGCCATCCGTGCTCTTGTGTGGAGCAAGGTGTTGCGTCTTGCTAAGAATAGCCGCCCAAGGAATAAATATCATGACCTGGCCAGGGCTCGAGTCAAGATCTATAAGCAATGAGTAAGTCGTGCTAACCTTCAGACCATCGTGTCTCCCTGTTTGGAAGGTTTTAGCTTGACCAGAATCCTTGTTAATTTATAATTAGTTTGATGAAGTAATTTTTCCTAAATTTCATACCATATTAGCTGTCAATCGTGCAGTCCTTTGCTATGCTGTACATTGTAATTGCGCATCTTTTTCTTGGTTTAGACTTTTTTAGGGTTTTGGGGCCACTGTTTCATTTTTAACGTTATTTGTTCAGTGAATACTCTTTCTAAATGAATTAAGAAACTTAGTGCTGTCTTTGGTGACCGAGGCGTAACTTACCTCTAGGCTCTCTTAATTCCTCTATATCCTCATTCGCGGCTTGCTTACCCATTGCAAAGTTTCCCCTGAGGTCGTCTTTACACCGTCCCACATAATCTTCAGTTAGAAAGAACATAGTGAATAGTTGATGTAAATAATCATTTTTCTAACTTAAGGCATAACGGAAACGTAAAGATGGCATTTCTGTTTTGTTGATTGAATTTTACTGGCGTTTTTAAATTGGATTCATCTTGTTCGTCATTTCGAGGTTGTAGTATAAAGTTTTTATATCAGCTTACAAGATATTTGATTCAAGATATTTCTTTGTGTTCTTTACATATCCAGCATACCTCATTAATCCGGCTACTTTATATATTCTTTTTGACATTCACATTTAATTTTTCTATTTCATTTTCTGTTTCATAGCTTGTTTTGTGTATTGATTGCTTTCACACTCTAGTTTACGTCTATGCCCTTCTTTTACGAAGCAGCCCTCGTTGCCTACCAAAATTGGTCAATATCAATAATTAACATAATTATTTCGGTGATTATAGAGACGCGAGCGCTCCGATTGGTCGGTGATTACGTCATATCTCGCTATAATTACCTCGCACGAGGCGATTATGGCAAGGACCCTGAATTTCAAAATGGTCGCCTTGCGTTTTGTCATATTAATTTCGAGGAAGTGATAAACGCGATTGAAGAAAATTAAATCACGAAGAACACAAAAGATGCACTGAGTTTGGCAGAGCACCCTTTAAAAGAAATATATAAAGTTTTTGCTGATTGAATTTAAAAAAGCCTTTTCAAACTGCTTCCTTATCTTGATATGAGTAGTCAGCACAATTGCAACAAAATGCGCAATGTTTTCTTCATAAGCAATTATAAAAGAACAATTATTCGCCTCAGGCTCAGGGAATATTGTCGAATAATCCCCTCAACTTCACCTCGTAGTTATTCGACAATATTCACCTTGCCTTCGGCGCCTAATCGTTAAATAGTTGCTACTTATAAATCGCCGAACTTTAGAGAAACGGCCTGTGGCAACTTCGACTACCAGCTAGAAGCGTAAACGAAATGGAACTTGCCTCTAAGCTGATTGAATTCCTCTAACTGTTCTTTTGTAGCTTGCTTACACTTCTCGTAATCTTTTTGTAGCTCCTTTTTATCCCTCTCTACAAGTACTTCATGCAAGATAATATTTGGATTATCAAAATAGGATAGTTGAAAACAATAATTACATTTTTATTCAGATCAGCGAAGTAAGGTAGATGAGTAAGGAAAGCTAAAATATCATGTTGTCAGGTACCAATTGCAGGTGTGCTTGAGTGTCCCTTTTTGTTTTTCTCTTGTTTTCAGTATTTCCCTTCACCCGGCCTTTTAAAGATTACTCTTGTACATCACGAAGATTTATATATTAAGATAGATAGTCCTACCGATGACAGAATGGTTTATTTTGCACTGAAACTGGAATTGTGCAGGGTAGTTCCTCACATACCCCTATTGGCTTCCTGAATTGTTTGTGTTTATGAGTGGCAAACTAAGCAACTAAAGCTAATAGAACTTGCCTCTAAGCCGATTAAGTTCCTCTACTTGCTCTTTGGCAGCTTGCTTTGACCTCTCAAAATCTTTACGTAGCTCTTCTGTGTCCCTCTCTACAAATACTTCAAGTACAAAGACGGGTACAAATTCAAATAAGCGATAGTCAAGAACCACTATTTGTTGGTATTCAAATTATTTTTGCAACTAATGACAAAAATAGAAAGAAAACAGATGAAATTTCTGTTTGGTTGATTAAATCTTACTGCTGATATAGATTTGGAGTCAGAGTAGTCTTCATTTACAAGCTGAAGTATCCGGTCACAAACTTTTCCGTTCTCTAAACATCCAAATAATTTATATTCTACATGTATTATTTATTTCTAATTTAAACTTATCATTTCATTTCTTATCAAAACTTATTTTTGTGGATGGATATTATGCATTCACCTTTACGAGTGTAAATTATCCTTAAATGGTAGTTTTAGTCGGTCAAAATCAATAAATAGCAAGGCTGTTGCTGCATTTAAATCGCCAAACTTCAGAGGATACATCAACTAAGTTGAAAGTGTAGATTGGCCTCCTTAAAGAGTTAAAAAGCTGACGTTTCGAGTGTTTCTGACGAAGGGCTAAAGCTCGAAACGTCAGCTTTTTAACTCTCTAAGGTGGCCAATCCTCAATTTCAACTTAGGTGATATCACCAAATTACCTCGTTACCCCCACCGACGCAGCATTACCGTCGCTTTAGAAACTTTCCCCCTTTATTCAGAGGATATAGCCTGTGGCAGCGTCGAATACCACCTAGAAGCGTAAACGAAGAAGAACTTACCTCTAAGCTGATTGAATTCCTCTAATCGTTTTTTTGTGGCTTGCTTACACTTCTCAGAATCTCTTCGCAGCTCTTTGTCTTCCCCCTCCACAGATACTTCGTGCAAGAAAAGGTTTATAAAGAAACATTGTCACAGATATACATTGCCATGACTGAGAAGACCGAATAAGAAAAATGGTTTGCTTTGAGCTGGGTAAAGAAATAGAGAAATAAGTTTTTGACAAGATCTTCGTAATGGCCTTGCTCACCATAGAGTCTCTGTGGCTCAGTGGTAGAGCATCGGAGCGCAAAATCTTAAGGTCTGAGGTTTGATTCCTCATGGGGGTTCAGAATTTCTCTTTGTGCCTATAGGTGGTTTGCAACCAATCTCTAGAGACGCAGGTAACAATAGTGAAAGGAACAAATGCTGGTGGACGAACAAATGGAGCTAATAAGATATCGATTGTTTACGTCCGCCAACATGGCGGCAATGACGTGACGTGCGAACCATCTATTTGTTCTATTTGTTTTTTGAAAACATTGTCGATATTTCATAAAAAACAAAAAATAAATAAATAAATAAATACGATTTAGATAAATAAAAGCGTCGTTTAAGTGGAAAAGTTGAGGTATTTTGCTAGCCTTAGGAGGCTGTGTAACTTTTTATAGACGTTTGAGGAATAGTTAGACCTTACAAACGTTAATTTAGAAAGGACCATCATTTGAAGGGTTTCTTTTCCTTCCCAGCTCTGGGGTGAACTAAAATGATAAGCTTAGGCAAACTTAAAGCCTAAGGATCATCTGGCCTTATTTCGATTCCCATCAAAGATTCATAAGGAACTGGTTAGTAAATGTCTACCTTGAAGTTCTTTTTGGCGCTCTAGATGACGCTTTGCATCTTGTATCTGGAAATCAAGTGATGTTTTCAGGTTTTCTATCTCTTTTTTCGCCGATTCTAAGAGTAATAAAACAATAGACAGTCAAAGAATGCATGTGGCTTCTGGTAAAATACAATTCTTGTAGCATTGAAAAGAACTAGAGGTTGTATAATGACGCTAGAAGGTAGCATGTGAGGCAAATATTCTGCAAAACAGAAAACCTGCCGCATAACACATATTTATGGGTACCCCTGTTCCACAGGAGAAGATGATTAAAAAATATATTGTCTACTTGACATTCAATCAATAATTAAAAGGTAACAAATGATAATAATTACAATGATAATAATTAACCAATAATTAAAAGGTAACAAATGATAATAATTACAATGATAATAATAATTACAATAGTAATATAATAAGGGACTAGGTAGCTCGAAAGCCGCATGGTTTCCTTATCCTCTGGATTCAAACAATGGTTACCTATGCTGCTTTTAATTTTGCTTGTTAAATGTAAATAATGTTTTTACTTTATTGCAATTTTATTTTTTGAGACTTTTGTCTTAGGACATTCCGTCGTTTCGCGTCTTTAGATATTCCGCCTTTCCGTTGATCCACCATTTTCATGTTCAATCGATCTTAGCCTCCATTTGGAGGCCGTAGCCCCAAAAAATTATAGTACCGATGATAATAATAATAATAATTATAATAATCATAAAAATAATAATAGTAATCACGAGAGTTACGAACATGAGCGCACTTAAATTAAGAGTATTTCTTACTTTTGAGAGGAAAAGTTGTGTTTAGTTCGAAGAAAAGTTGATTTTATTTTGTCCACCTATTTCCAGGAGTAAGAATTTTAAACGTAGACAGCTGACTCTTTTTGACTTAAGATAAGGATAGGCTTGATGGAGACAAAATTAAAAAAATAACTAAAAAACGAAAACTAGCCGAAATATGTCGAAATTAATTGGCTCTTATGGATTATTTGAAATTGCCAATTAAATCCACAGCATTTGGAATCCTACTATAGGTGACAAAGATAATAATACGAAAATATTTTGCAGCGAATTGATTTTATGAATGAAAGAACATCTTGAGTCTGGGGATTTTCAACAATGTGTTGATGATAATTCAGTGTGTTGATGGTAAGTCAGAGCACGTCTTTCTGCTTTGTTAAACGAGCTAGTATCGAGGGAAAGACAATAATAACTCATCTTACCTGAAATATTTCGCAGCTCTATCAAACGTTCTTCTAAGACGTGCTTACAGATACTGAACTCTGTCTTTAGCTTAATGAACTCGTCTTCTGAGGCTGAAATAAGTTTATGTCATTAATCAAGACTGAATTTAAACTGGCGCAAGATTATTTAGTGTTATTATTGTGGCATGTGGGTGTATATAAATAAGATAAAGAAACGATAATTTGGGAAAGAAGGAAAGGGTCAAATCCCCCCAATAAATATCTAGTCAACTCGGGTGGAGTGTCTCAAGCATACTGCCCCGGTATGAAGAAAGTGTAATTCAGCTATATTGAAAACAATAATTTGGCCAATCGCTGAGTGGAGAGAGACACTGAGGTAGTATGTTCTTCTCAAGGAACATCATATACACAAAATGCATAATATCATGGCAAGACGGTCACTAAATGACTTTCCGAGAAATGGTAGTAGATTCTTCCGCCGAGAAGGAAAGAATAGGTAAATAAGATATGGGTGGTTCACTCCGTCTCTACTACTTCTGTACTTCTGTATTATCGATTAGTTACCTAAGAGCTCTTGCCTTATCCCTGTCACCCTGTTCTGCCTCTCCTGAGGTTCAGATGTACAGAGATGCTGAGTGGTTTTCGTGCAGGTAATCGAGTCCTTTGTCAGTTCGGATGGTCCATCTAGAGCATGTTCTTAGATTGAAAAAATATGTGTGATTGACCAAGCACTCGGTCAAGAGGGATGGACATTGGTTGAGTTCTTTTTTTTTTAATGGACTGATTTTTTAATTCTTTTTTTAATGGACTGACAGTGACAGAAGGAGAGAGAGAGGGGGGGAGAGAGAGAGAGAGAGAGAGAGAGAGAGAGAGAGAGAGGGAGAGAGAGAGAGAGAGAGAGAGAGAGAGAGAGAGAGGGAGAGAGAGAGAGAGAGAGAGAGAGAGAGAGAGAGAGAGAGGAGAGACCCCGGGAACGAGGTTCACTACCTCTCAACCTTC